AGGAAAAATTAGATGGAAAGATTGTGGAATTGCCTAAGATTCGATCAGAAGATCAGTTGGTCGACATCCTCACCAAAGCAGTCTCAAATCGAGTGTTTGCGAAATTCTTAGACAAGTTGGGCATGTGTGACATCTATGCACCAACTTGAGGGGGGGTGTTGAGATAATCAACGATATTGACAATTGATATTTTCCTTGTTTAGAAGATCTCTTAGTCATGTACAAATCAGTAGATTACATAGACTGATATTTAGGGAGTTAATTTAGGTAGTTAATTGGGGTCTCATCCCTATATATATTCTCTGTATTTGCCATTACAAAATATGAATGAAAACATGTTGTTCATCATCATTTGAACACTTTCTTTTCAATAGCTATTGAAATTTGCTAAATCTCTTGTATAGTATATAGAAATATGTGGATTATAACTGACAGTTTGCACAATCCATTGATTGCCAAAATTCTGTATGTTAGCTGCTAATGTTTCCTGCTATTGTCTGATTTTCTAAGCATTGAGGTGTGATTTTGTTGATGCTTGATATTAGATGGCATCAGTAATTGGCTACGGTGATCAACATGTTAAAGACTATTCAATAAGCTCTCTACGTAGAGCATCCTATGATGGACGTCTACTACGACAAGGCCCTCTACTTTTATGATGGACCATCTATTACGAGGCCCTCTACATCCATGCTGGGTAGTCAACCGCTACGAGGCCCTCTACGGCCACGTCGGGTTATCGACCACTATGAGGTCCTCTATATTCATACTAGGCCGTTTACCATTATGAAGCGGTTGATCACTATGAGGACCTCTATGTTCTATTAGGCCATCTACCACTATGAGGTCCTCTATCTCTACGAGGCCAACACAACACTTAAACCATAAAAAAGCCATGAATTGGATGAGAATAGTTCAATGGTTATCATGGCACAACCAACCATGGATAGGTGGAGGTCCTCCACTCAGAACATGAGGATGATGGGAGAAGCTGTATGGGACACGTGACACGAAATCCACCCAATAGTTATAAGGCTCTAGTCACCTAAAAATACTAACAAGGCAAGCCACGTATGTATCTGAAAAATAATGGCTATCTAAATTCAGACTGTCTTTTCTTCATAAGAGCTAAAAATTTTGGCTATCTAAATTCAGACTGTCTTTTCTTCTTAAGTTTACATTCCTAATTCATTTACTAATTCTCACACCGAAAGTATAATGGGAAAATCATAAGCGAAAAAGTCAAGTGACCATCGAAAATCCACTAATAAAAGCAAGTCGAAGAATGAATGCGTAAACAAAGGGTACACTCAGGGTCGGTCCATCAAGCAAATGCGGGAGGAGGATAATGCCTTCACTCCTTTGAATACTCCGTGCTCAAAGTTGTTGATGGAAATACGGGACATGAAGGAGCTCGAATGGCCAAAGTCGATGTCAATGCCATCCAACAAAAGAAGTCAGAGCAAGTATTGTCATTTCCATAAGGATCATGGACATGATACTGAAGATTGCATGGAGCTAAAGGAGGAGATCGAGGGCATTCTAAGATGGAGACTCTTGAACAAATATGTGAGAAATGACAGAGGCAAGCAAAATATTGAGAATTGTCCCCCCCATCTAGAGCCAAAGTGATAAACGTGATCGTTGGTTGAATAGCAGCTGGTGGAAACTCAAATTCAACTAGGAAGAGCTATGCATGCTATGTTGGGACATGCTCTATCCAGAAGAGCTATCCAGAAGAAGGCAAGGTTCAATCTAAGCATCACTTTCGGTGAAGAAGACTTAATTAGCGTAGTGTTATCCCATGATGATGCCCTTGTAGTTGTGGACGACATAGAAGATTTTGATGTCAAGAGGGTGCTGGTCGACGAAGGAAGTGCAACAAATGTTCTCACGTGGGATGCTTTTCTAGGTTTGAAGATTTCTCCTGAGAAACAGAAAATGACGACCATCATTCTACAAAGTTTTGGAGGGACAACTGTGATACCGAAGGGAACTGTGGAGCTTCCAGTCACGCTGGGCACTTATCCAACAACCGTGGTGATCTTGACAAGCTTCTTAGTTGTCAAAACCCCCAAGGCATACCATGTCAACTATGGCCGACTGTTGATAAACACCGCATGTACCGTTCCCTCAACTTACCATCAATTCATGAAGTTCCCGACTAGTAGAGGGGTTGGGTGTGTAAAGGGGGGATCAACATGCATATAGAAAGTACTACATTGATAGTATACAGGCGAAAAGTTCTCCACCAGTTATGATGTTAGATGTAGAGCCCTTAATGTGAGTAGATCTGGAATTTTACAAAATGGAAGAATTGGTAAAATGTTTAGCTAATAACTTAGACATTTTTGCATGGAGTCTAGGAGACATCCTAGGGATTAGCCCATCAGTCTCCCAGCATCGCTTTGGTGTTCTACCAGGGAAAAAGCCAATAAAGCAGAAGAAAAGAAACTTTACCCCAGAAAGGCAAATCGTGATGAGGGTGGAGGTTGAGAAATTGCTGAGACGAGTTTCATCCGGAAAGTGCAATACCCTGAGTAGCTGCCAAACATTGTGCTCGTAAAGAAATTGAATGGGAAATGGCATATGCGAGTAGACTACACTGGCTTGAACAATGCGTGTCCAAAAGACTCATACCCACTTTCCCAGATAGACCACCTAGTAGACGCCATGTCGGGTCATGAAAGGCTTAGCATTCTGAACACATTTTTTGGGCGTAATCAAATTTCGATGGTCGAGTCTGATCAAGAGAAGACGTCCTTTATCACCAACTTCAGGAAGTATTACTATATAACCATGCCGTTCGATCTAAAAAACATTGGGCAACCTATCAAAGAATGGTGAACAGTGTCTTCCATGGATTGATTAGAAATGTTATAGAGGCCTACATCGATGACATGGTGGTCAAAACTCAAAAGTACCAAGGCTAACAACTACGTGGCTTGCTTATAGAAAGTCGTCGCCTGACAAAATAGGTTGAAGTTCAACCTGGAGAAATGTGTTTTTGGTACCACCAGTGGAAAGATCATGGGTTTTATGACAACACAGAGGGGTATTGAAGTAAATCCAGATAAGATTCGGGCGATTCTAAAGATGAACAACCCTACCAGTAAGAAGGACGTCCAAAGGCTGACGAGATAGGTAGCAGCTCTGAATCGCATCATGAGTTGAGTAGAAAATAAATATTGCCATTTTTTCAAGGCAATTGGGGGCTCTACAAACTTTGAGTAGACTTAGGAGTGCGAAGAGTCGCTCGAGTCTTTGAAGCAGATATTACAGTAACCAAAAGTTTTGACTAGTCCGTGTTCCGGGCATTTTTGTGTATCTCTTGCAATATCACCACAAGCAGTTAGTGATATCTTAGTAAAAGAATTCCCAAGGGCTCGGAGGTCGGTTTAATATGTAAGCCAAGTGCTAAAGGACGAGCAGACAAGATATAGCTTGGCCGAGCAACTAGTGCTGGCATTGGTCATTGCGGTTAGAAAATTGAGGCCATACTTCCAACCTCACACAGTACAGGTGATGACTGATCAGTCGTTAAGCAGATTTTACATCGACCAGAAATCTCGAAAATATCGCTTAAATGGGCAATTGAGTTGAGTGAGTTCGACATCGAATTCAAACCAAGAACAACTATCAAGGTACAGGCTCTAGCGGGCTTTATCGACGAGCTTACCACCCTGCCTAATCAACGTACAGGACAGAAGGCGGATTTGAAAACTTTTGTGGATGGGTTCTCGAGCGACGAAGGATCAAAATGATAGGACCAAAATTTAATAGTTGGAATATTCATCACTCTTCGAATTCTCAGCTATAAGCAATGATGCTGAATATGAGTAGTGATCACAGGCCTTGGCTTAACAACCAGACTAGGGGTGTCCTCTGTTGAGATTTGTAGCGATTCTCAGTTGAGAGTTGGACAGCTGACACGGGAATTTAAAGTGAAGGACGGAAGAATGGTAGCATATTTGATGAAAGTAAAACACTTGCAAAAATAATTTATAAATTTCAAGATAACCAAGGTCCCCCAGAAAGATAATGGGTGAGCAGACACATTGGTCAGACTTGCATATGCTAACTTAAAGAATTTGCCTCGCACAGCAAGCTGCAAGTCCTACGACAACCCAGCGTTCAACATACGATCAACGTTGAGAACATAGAGCATGAAAAATGTTGGATGAATTCGTTGATTAGTATCTCATCGAAGATAAGGTGCTAGAAGATGGTCTCGAGGCAAATAGGTCGAGGGCTGGAGCAAATTTGTTCACGATTATCGATGGACAACTTTATAAGTAGGGTTTCACCATGCCATACTTAAAGTATGTCATCCATAATTAATATCCCAAATTCTCAATTAACAAAAAAATTAAGAATTAACAACAAAATTTACTGGAATAAATACAGGCTGATATGGGTATTCATACATCCAAATACACAGTATGGTGTGTCTTTATCTCTACTATGTAAATTTCTTTTGGGGAGAGATGTTGGTAGAGTCGAATGCAACCCGACTGTGATACTGGGAGAAACCTTAGTTTTTTCAATTAGGGGAAAATTGAACTTGAAAAGTAAAATGATTTGGATTTGGAGCCTGGCCCATAGAAAGGCCCAAAATTTTATTTTTTTTATTTTTTGAAGCCAGATATGAAGCCCAACCCCAATCTAAGCCTAAGCCCAATATAGGTGAAGCCCACAAGTTCAAGCCCAATCATAAGGCCTATTTAAAACCAAGTCTAAAGTAGTAAGTTATGCGAACGGGTTGAATCACTGCTCCAGCTCAAAAACCTACTAAAACCCTTCGACGCTGCAAACTTTCCTCATCGTTAGAAAGAACCACAATCGCCGACTCTGTAAACCCTGCACCTCGTTCCGATTGCTCAAGGCGGTTGTTGAAACACATTGAAAAAGTCTTTCATAACGAAATTTTCATACTTTTTATCTATCCAGATAGCAAGAACGACCTCAGAGGAAAACAAAATGGCGTACCAAGGGGGAACTCAATAAAGCACAACAAACTTCCATATTCTACCCCAAGCAATCATACAAACCTTTCCAACTTTACCAATTTCAAGAGAGGCCCTCTCGAGAATAAAAATAACCCCAGGCTTTTTGTCTGTATATGTCGGAACAATCGGGATTCCAGACATTTCATCAATAACTTGCTTTGCTTTCTCCTCATTTAAATCCGAGCCCTCTGTTTTCGCTTTCTTTGGTGATTGTGGTATATTATTGTAATCTAGCTGTTCAAATTCTTCTTCTCTATCATACTTTTCTCTTTTCTTTCTCTTTTGTCCCGTTACCTTATACCGCCGTACCATTTTCTATCCTCTTTTTTTAGCTGGAACAGTACTAATGATTTTTCTGAACGCTACAGATATTACATCACAAACAAAAACGCCAATTATAATATGAACATTTTAACAACCGTATGTCATCCATAATTAATATCCCAAATTCTCAATAAACAAAAAATTAAAAATTAACTACAAAATTTACTGGAATAAATACAAGTTGATATAGGTATGCGTACATCCAAATACACAGTAATGTGTGTGTGTATCTCTACTATGTAAATTTCTTTTGGGGAGAGATGTTGGTAGAGTTAAACGCAAATCGGCCGTGGATATTGGGAGAAACCCTAGTTTTTTCAATTAGGGGAAAACTGAACTTGAAAAGTAAAATAATTTGGATTTGGTGCCTGGCCCATAGAAAGGCCTAAAATTTTCTTTTCTATTTTTTGAAGCCAGATATGAAGCCAACCCCAATCTAAGCCTAAGCCTAATATAGGTGAAGCCCTCAAGTTCAAGCCCAATCATAAGGCCTCTTTAAAACCAAGTCTAAAGTAGTAAGCTATGCGAATGGGTCGAATCAGTGCTCTAGCTTAAAAAACCCTATTAAAACCCTTTGGCACTGCAAACTTTCGTCACCGTTAGAAAGAACCACAACCGCCGACTCTGCAAACCTTCCACCTCGTTCCGGCTGCTCAAGGCGATTGTTGAAACACATTGAAAAAGTCTTTCATAACGAAATTTTCATACTTTTTATCTATCCAGATAGCAAGAACAACCTTAGAGGAAAACAAAATGACGTACCAAGGGGGAACTCAATAAAGCACAACAAACTTCCATATTCTACCCCAAGCAATCATACAAACCTTTCCAACTTTACCAATTTCAAGAGAGGCCCTCTCGAGAATAAAAATAACCCCAGGCTTTTTCTCTGTGTCTGTCGGAACAATCGGGATTCCAGAAAAATAACACTCATTATAGTGAATAACTCGGAATTTCAAGAAAATAATGCTTGGACAAATGTATGAGACTCAAAAACTCATTTAGGTTAGTTATATTCCTTGGGTATCTGGAATTGACACCCTTTGTGCCAATTGCAGTTGGCATAACAGAATCGCAAGTGGTTTGACTCATCTTCTATGAGATAATACGTTCTTTTAAAGCATGGCATAAACATATCAACTTCGCATTAAACATTATCTTTGAACGGAGTAGTATGAAGAACGAGAGTTGAAAGTCATACACATGGAATGCAACATTATTGCAAACTCTTTGAATCATATTATTTTAATAACCAGATTTTGAAACAACTTGACAAATATGCTACTGAAAAACCAAGAAATATAGCCCCTGTTTTGGCCCCATTAAATTATAATCCATTTTTCTCCCTCTTATTTTCAATCACACAAATTTTCCAAAAATAATATTACATGTAAATCAATAATTTTTACTTCTTTTTCAACCACATATTTTCCAAAAAAATACTATTCCAAAAAGTATAATTTCAAATCATGGAGGCCAAACGGGGGCTTAGACAACTTTTATATAAATACTTGCGGTGGGGATTTTCAAATTTAAAAATTTACTAGTAGAGGGGAGAGACTTAAATTTTGCTTACTTGATAGATACTCTTCTACATATTCTTTGTCAAATTTCCCATGGGCCATTGGTCCAACCTATACATAAGCCGTACTATGAAACGAAACTTTTGAGGCGATTTTGAGAGGAAATTTGAGGTATTCGACAAGGATTTTTGGGTCCATTTCGCCGGAGGCCAAGAATCTGTTGAGGAAGATGATTTTCCTTGATTTTTGGGGAAGAAGATGAAGTGGAGTGGGGTGAGGTGAGGTGGAAAATAAGATTTTAAAGATCTGAGATTATAGATGGCACATATAAAAAATTAGGATTTAATTTGTAAAAATATAAAAAATTTGATTACTGAAATTGCAATTATTCTTTTTAAATTTTGACATTTTTTTTACTATTTTTTACGGCAAATCTGATGGATTTTGACTGTATGGAGATATATTGCAAATGGAAAGGTTTATAGGGGGTTTTCTACAATTAATCAAAAAGAATTTATTAAGGTTTTCTTTAGAAACTCTTATAATTAGGCAAAGTATTTTTAGAAAATTATTAAAACATGTTCAAAAACATTTTTTTAGCTTCAAAAGACAATTTTTTTTTACTTTTCTAAAGTATTGGCAAATGAGTCCTAAAATATTTCATCCGAATTTATTTTTTTACGAGTAGTAGAAGCAAAAGTAAAAAGTCAAAATAGAAGTCCCGTCAAATGGACTTTTTGCCTTGCTTTCAAATACTTTTTCAGTTCTAAGTTTTTCTTTTTTGGTTTTACTTAAAACTAAAAAAAAAAAATAGTAACTTTGTTAAACATTTTGAAAACAAAAGGTAATATCTAACAAATTAAATTGCGTACGGAAATACTTTACTAAATGCATTCTCATTTTAGTGTGAGTAAATTGTTTTTTTTAACCTTTGACTATTTATTTTATAAATTTACTTGTTCATTGCAATAAAAAAAATTTAAGCTCAAGTAAACATGCTCTTAACAATTGAAAAAATTAAGGATAAAAGAGAGAATTTACGAGCAAAGTTTGAATTTTTGACTGAGAATAGAGAGGCCACTGGGCTTGGAACCTACTTTGTCAATTTTAGACCATGATTCTCGAATAGTTTCATAACAAGTTTGGCTCACTTCCTGCAAATATCCGAGATATGAGTTGAAGTATCGTCTCCACTTAATATAAGAATTTTACGTATTTAATTTTTTATGGAAATATAAATAGATGGGAACTTCATAAAATGTGTGAATCCCTCCTCCTTATTTTGGATTTGTTACTTACCTTAAAACCCTTGGTTACAATTGAGAAATATCCATTTTGTGGAGTTATGTCATCGAAATAAAGAATAGGTGCGGATGAGGCCAAAGCACCAAGAGCAATATGCGGATACCTGAGCCTAAACCATGAAGCAAGCACCGCAAAAATGTAAACTATAATTGTTACTTACAAAAAAAAATAAAATTTACAGAATTAGCCCTTAACTTATAACCTAAATAACAATTTGGTCCTCAACATGTCATTATAGTTATAAACTCACTTCTCCGAGGTAGAAAGCACATCATAATTTAGTTACAATATTGTCAAGTGTCCCTTGTGAAAATGTCTCAGGCACTGTCGCAAGTTGGGATACAATATTTAGCTTTATTATAAAGGATGAACCGCATTCTTGGCGGCCCCCACATGCCCTGCCCTGAGACTTTATAACTTTATTATAAAGTTAGATATGTAATGGTCATGTAATGATTTAACAAAAAATTGTACGTTTTGCCGTTGATAAGTATGCATCCGTAACGAAAAATTAAAAACAACGAACATGCACCTACTCGATTAAATAACAACGTACATGGAAATGAATGGTGAATTCTTACTTCCTCCATATGATCCTCCAATGACAATAATGGGAGAATTGTGGGCAGATAATTTTTCCTTTATGTAAATCAATATCTCTGCATAATCAGCCATAGCTTGAGCTGAGGTAAGATATCCACGAATTGTATCATTTTTCAAGGCTTCTTCCATGGATCCTAAGGGGCTTGATTTTCCATAATAACGATGCTAGTTAAAGATAAACAAGAAAAGAATTATATATAATCAGTATTACATAAAAAAAAGTTATATATAAAGTGGAACAAGACAGGGTTCCACAAAATTTGTGAATAATAATGAGTAATAGTTATGAATGTGATGTTAAACTTAATATTTGTTTTCGATTGAATTTATAAACAATTTATAAATTGTGTATCCAGATGAAAGGTTGTTTTTTTGGGTAAAATGTTACCATAATCGATATATTGTGACACAAGACTAAGTTTGTGTGATTGTAATTAACTAAAGTCGAAAGTGACTATGATGACCGGTCGATGTAAAATCATTTGGTGAAAAAGATAATAGCCGTAAGAGAGTGTTATCTAAGGTGTTTTTCGTACGAATTCCTGATCAATGGATAGTTTATGTCTTTTAGCCTCTATTTAACGATCATTCTTTTAAAACACTTTTTTTTTTCTCATACTTATTGTCAACCCCACATCCTCCAAAAATTTACTATTCAAAAACTTATTCTACCAAAAAAAAAATCTGCCAAACAGTGGCTTAGTTTTTTGTGCAATGATTCGGAACATGACCGACTTATCGTTGTCATGGTTTCCGCACCATTCATCTTAGACTACGAGCCCAACGACATCAAAATATATATGTAGAGACTATCGTTAACCTGCTTTGATTTTTGCCAAAAGATGTAACCCAAGTAAGATCAAGTGTCGAAAGAGCAAGCTAGCATAGTTACCTAAATAAATATGATTAATTACATCGATAAGATATTACAGTTATATTACAGTTGCTCTTGCACCACCCCAGTATTTGTAGTTGATGAGATATCTTTGTTTGAAAGTGGCATAACTATGGGGTCCATAGTTGAAATGGCCTAGGGTAAAAATATGTCTGAAATCATTTGAAACTGTAGGATGAAAAAGTTGATTGTTTTTAAATTGTCCAATGATATGATGTCATGTGACATTATATTAAGGATTATGTAAAAGCATTTGACACGGTAGCATGATCGTAATTTCAACTCAATTAGAGAATATTTGATAAAATAAGTTATGCTAATTAAAAATAACGTTGATGATTATAGTTGACAAGCAACTAATCTAGACGTAAATTTAATTTACTTTTAATTGTTTGTTTTGTAGTTCTGTTTATTATTTATTAGTTGTGAGTTATATAAAATGCGTGGGTTAAGTTTCTTCAACTATTTAGAGTTGTGTTTCAGAAATTTGAAGAAAATCGTGTTCCTAAAACTTGTTTCTCTTAATGGATATTTTTAATTAGATTGTGACGTTGGCTCCTTTGTGGCTGTTGGATTAACTTCTTAACTTCTGGATGGTTCTGACCTTATTTTGTTTGGAGGTTGTTGACTCTTCATTGGTTCGAGACTTTTGTGTTGTTTTTGAGAGATCTCTTCCTTCGTTTTTAGGGTTTCTCATTCTTCGTTCATACTTCCAAGAAAATCTCTTCGAAGCACTAAAATACTTTAGATCGTTAGCCTATTCTATTGTTCTAAGTGATATGAGAGAAGAATTTGTGTGATTCTTTTTGGCCGTACATTTTTTTAAAGGGTCTGAGTATTTTGTTGTGAGTTCTTGGTGGCTGGTGTTTCGATCTGGAGTTTTCTTTGAAGATAAATTTTTCTGTAACTTGATCTTTGTAATATCTGGAACCTACTGTATCTTGACTACCATTTATGGCTTTATAGTGCAACTGAGCTTTATACATTTACAAATGGATGCTCAATATGGAATTAAGTGTTAGAAGCGGTCGACTAACCTCCGGGGTTGCAACTGTACTTTATTTTTTGGGTTTAGATCCTTGTTAATCTTAAATGTTTCTTGACTTGTCAGTGTGAATAGTTTAATTGTGGTTCCTACAAATATGTGAATAAAAATTATACTTGACTAATTTAAATTATGATTTATATTATGCTAAACATGCTCGGGTACAAATAAATATATTGGATAAGCTTAAAAAGAACTTACAAGTTGTGTTGCTCCTATTCCCCACACAAAGAGCACATATGGTCGTACCATGGGCGATCCCATTGAACAACGCCCAAGAGCACTATAAAACAAAATTAATGGTTTAAATCGCACCTTATCGAAAGGTCGCACCCATTCGAAATAACTCTTTAATATGCACCATTAATTTGCATTGAAGAGTTGCACCTATTGGAGATTTTTTCAATTCACACATTTTAATCAAGACGTGTTAAAATTTTTGTCATTGATTATTTAAAGTGTTGTTAAAATCAATGTATAAAAAGCGTCAGCTCACAACAATATCAAGTTTGATGTACATGTAACAAAATTGTTAGCATATATATGTATTTTTGTGTAAAAATGTAAAAACCTTAATGCATTGCAATTCAACTTTCTTGGTCCTTCTTTATAGTGTACTTAGGGTTGTTCATGTCAAACATTAGTGTCATATCATACATATATGGGCCTAAAGCCTCCAGTTAACGAAAAATTATCAGTCGCTATTATGTATTATAAATGAAAATAAATTAAAAAATCTCAGTATAATTGAATCTTTTATATATCTGAAATATTCCTGGGATATAGAAGAGCTGCAGGCTCTTTATTTAATGAAAACTCAAGTAAATATTCTACTTCTTTAAGCTTAAAAGATCAGCATAATACTCTGCAATCCATCCTTTAATAATTTTGATCTCTTTCTTGCGTTGCATGACCAACCACTCTGGATCACTTGGTTGTGCTGAACGTATGTCCAAGCAATGAGACCCTGTAAAATTAAAGTTAAAAAATAGCTCAATTTTCACTTTCTTATAATTTCTACTTCAATACTACAAATATTTTCTTCATTCGGTAATATCTAAATCTCGAAGTACCTTTTCAAGAAGAATATTACTAATCTGATATGTTAGTTTATAATCTTAGCACACTTACTGATGATAATAAGTTTTAGCAATTCGGCACAAGAGAGAGATGCAAGTATCGATGAATTATAGAAGTAAAAAGTTCAAATAATGATTCTAAATTCATTCAATATTTAGAGTCTATCGAATTCAATACGTACCATTAATCGTGTAAATGGCCACAACACTTTTCGATATGTCCTCTAGCACCCTATAATTTGTCATTCAAAATGAATTCAACAAACTAAGGTTATAGAATTGAAATAAAATATCTAAAATAATAAGAATTTTGTCACAATATATTGTCGATTACCCTCCGCTGCTGTACGGATCTCTTAGACCATTGGAGAAAATTATGTTGCTTGCAAATCGATGGAGAACCAATTTAATATTCTGCATATTGTAATATTTTTAGTATTACTAGAAGTGATATAATTTCAGAAAAGGTGAAAACATAATTAATATAGAAATTGAGGATAAAAATATAAATAAAATAACATACATGGCCTCCATAATAAGTTGTGACCTTATGTGGTCGAGGTGAGACACCGTACATGCTCTTACAGTTTTCAATAACTTGTGATAGATTGAAAGGTGCCGAAGGAAACATTGTATCATTCGATCCGCGACCAATAGGCATCACCATTTCACTACATGTCTAAAAACCAAGCCACAATTTCAAACCAATTATAATTAAATTATAGAGATTTTTCTAAAGTGTTGGGGCGAATGATAACTAAAGAAGCATAAATTTCTCTACTTATCAAAAGTCATTGGATAGAAGACAAGTGTCATATTTGGTATATAGGGTTAAAGATGTAATAGATTTTTCTAACTCAAAGCATATCCCACTACGCTTAAAAAGTTTAAAACGAAAAAAAAAAATATTACTTTTGATTTTTAAGCCTCTGTTTGAGAACTATTATTTTGTAAAAATAGAGTTTTGAATAATGATTTTTAATAGAATGAATGGTTAGAAAGTAGGTAATTTTTTTGAATTTACTGCAAAATATTATAGCAAGTGAATGTGTGGTTAAAAATAAGTATGTAGAAAAAAGAATTTTCAAATAATTGTTGTCAAACAAGGACTAAGTTAGGTCAATTTGACAAGTCTTTTAGAGGAAGCTGACAAAAATGGCTTATGTTTCTGCTTTTACTTTTTATAAATAATTAATAGAAAATCGCAGAAAACCCTCCATATTTCAAACATTTTGTACGAAGACCCCCTATTGTCAAAATCCGTGAGATTTTCCGTAACAAAAAGTAAAAAATGCCAAAATTATAAAGGAATAATTGCAATTTCAGTACCAAAACTTTTTATTTTTTACAAATTAAATCCAATTATCTACAATCCCAAATTTTTAAAACATTAGCGGCTGTTATCTTCGTATTTTAGTTTTGTGTTTTTAGTTTTGAATTCAATTTGGATTTTTGGTTTTGAGTGTCCATTTGAAATTGTTGAAAATGTGTTCCTTTTGCCATTTTTAAAAATTATTTTGAAAAATAAAAAATCTCAAAATGCATTTACTTTCTCCCCTGAATTTTCTCACTCATCTCTCTCTCCATCTTCTTCCCTCCTGTTTGTAATTTGTCGGAACCCAATCCTCCAACCATCGTCTTCATTGCGGACCACCACTCGTCTACCGCCCACCTCCGGACGACTCAGAAACAGCCCTCAATTTAGTCCAAACAACAATCGTCTTCATCGTGGACCACCATCGGTCGATTGCCTTCCTCTGGGCGACTATAATACAGCCCTCAATTTAGTCCAAACAACAATTAATTGAAATGAGGTCGCGATCCCGTTTCACGCAGTCCGAATAAATCTGTTATTTTGACAACGTCCGTTCAACCCATGGTCATGGACCACATAAGTCACCTTCCTCTCCCTCGGCGCACCTAACCCAACCATGGGTCAAGCCCAGTTTCAACCACAGATCGCTGATTTTATGGGTGAACTTAGGGTTGAAAACTGAAAATTTGTGGTGGTGGTGGCTGTGGTTGGTGATGATGATGGTGGTTGGTGATATGACGATTGTGTGGTGGTGGTGTATTGTGTGGTGGCAATTTTTGTGGTGGTGGCTGTGGCGGTTCTGGCGATGGTGGTGTTGTGGCTGTGGTGGTGGTTGGGGTGAGTTAGAAACCATTACTAAACACACCTAGCTACCGTTTAAACCAACAGACAGGAGCTCCTTATTTCCAGGAAAAGAGAATCAATTCAGTTCGTCTTCATCGTGGACCACCATCGGTCGATTGCCTTCCTCTGGGCGACTATAATACAGCCCTCAATTTAGTCCAAACAACAATTAATTGAAATGAGGTCGCGATCCCGTTTCACGCAGTCCGAATAAATCTGTTATTTTGACAACGTCCGTTCAACCCATGGTTATGGACCACATAGGTCACCTTCCTCTCCCTCGGCGCACCTAACCCAACCATGGGTCAAGCTCAATTTCAACCACAGATCGCTGATTTTATGGGTGAACTTAGGGTTGAAAACTGAAAATTTGTGGTGGTGGTGGCTGTGGTTGGTGATGATGATAGTGGTTGGTGATATAACGATTGTGTGGTGGTGGTGTATTGTGTGGTGGCAATTTTTGTGGTGGTGGCTGTGGCGGTTCTGGCGATGGTGGTGTTGTGGCTGTGGTGGTGGTTGTGGTGAGTTAGAAACCATTACTAAACACACCTAACTACCGATTAAACCAACATACAGGAGCTCCTTATTTCCATGAAAAGAGAATCAATTCAGTTGTGGCAGCTGATCAAATTTGTTAGACTAATTCTAGATCCTTCTTACCGTGTATAAAATCTTGTATTCAACAATGATAATTCATTTCATTCTATTTTTCTACTTGGTATCAGAGTTAAAGCAATGGCAAACACTGACTCAGGCAACCAATCAAATCCATCCGAGTTTACAACAACATCGTTTGGCCAGATTGCAGCAGGGCAGAACATAGCATTTGGCATGAACATAACACAGATGCCATCAGTAAAGTTGGATAGAAACAATTTCCTTCTATGGAAAAATATGATTATGCCCATCATCAAAGGGCATAATCTTGAAGGGTATTTGCTGGGGACAAAGTTGTGTCCACCAGAATTTTTAGCAACCCAAACAACCATTGGTCAAGGAGAATCAGTGGATATAACACAAAATCCAGATTATCTAAAGTGGATGTCAGCTGATCAGTTGCTTATGGGGTGGTTATATTCCTCCATGACTCCAGGAATAGCCATGAAGGTCATGGGTTGTACGAGCTCAAACAAACTATGGGTAGCTGTTGAAGAAAGCTTTGGGATACTTAATAGATCTCGAGTGATGTTTCTTACAGGAGAACCGTAAAGAACAAGGAAAGGGGTAATGACAATGGACCAGTATCTTACCAACATCAAGCAACTGGCAAATAACCTGGAAATTGCAGGTAAAAACATTGATCAAGGTGACTTGATTACACAAGTTTTATCAGGCTTGGATGAGGAGTACACTCCTATTGTGGTGCAGATTAGCAGCAAAGAAACCGTCTCTTGGCATGAATTATCATCAATACTAATGACATTTGAGAGTCGCCTTAAGCACTTGAATCAAGTGAAGAACAGTTTCACTTCACTCAATGTTAATCATCAAGTGTTCAGTTGGCACACAGAACTAACACTGGTTTTGCAAGAGGTTTCAGAGGAACTGGCAATGGCAGATCGTCGAACTTTAGAGGCAGATCAAGAGGCAGAGGTAGAACTACTATTGGTAGATAGAATAAAGGTAGAGGGTCCTGTCAAATCTGCGGTCTAAATAACCACTCTGCAAGTTTCTGCTACAATAGATTTGATGAAAGGTACATGGGGGGAAGGCCACCTAACTTAGGCCAGCAGAATATCAATACAGCACCATCAATTTACACAGCATCACCTAGCATGCTTGATGATCCAGCCTGGTATGTTGACTCAGGTGCAAGCAATCACGTGACAAGTGACAAAGGTAATCTGAATACAACGATGACATATGAAGGTAAAGAAAAACTACTTGTTGGAAATGGAGATAGACTAACTATTGCACATGTTGGAAATGGAAAGATTTCTGCACCTAATAATAAGTCACTGGAGTTAAATAAGTTATTACATGTTCCCTCAATCAAGAGAAATCTGATAAGTGTGTCTCAACTTACTAATGATAATGATGTTTTCATGGAATTTTACTCCAATTATTGTGTTGTGAAGGATCTCCAAACGAAGAGGATACTGCTGCAAGGAGTTCTTCATGATGGATTGTATTAGTTGCAATCATCAAAATTCAAGCCAGAAAGAACCACTCTCGAATCAAATCTTTTGAATAATTACCAGTGCTTTTCAGCTAAGTCTAGTAGTAATCAATCCTCTGTTTTATCAATTCCAGAATCTGAATTTGAAATTTGGCATAGAAGGTTAGGACATCCCTCAAATCTTGTGGTGAATCAGGTCCTTAAATCGTGTAATAGAAATATCAAATTTAATGAAATTCAGTTTTTCTGTGACTCTTGCAAACTTGGAAAATCACATGCCCTTCCTTTTAATTCTTCTGTCTCTCATGCTACTAAACCACTAGACCTCATACATGCTGATGTTTGGGGACCAGCCCCGTTGAATTCAGTCTCAGGTTTTAGATATTATATAATTTTTGTTGATGATCATAGCCGTTTTACATGGATATATCCCATGAGACACAAGTCTGAAGCCTTTATCACCTTCACTCAGTTCAAAAATCTTGTAGAAAATAAGTTTGAAAGAAAAATTAAAACACTTCAGTCTGACTGTGGCGGAGAATTCAGAACCTTTCATAAATTGGCACTAGAATCTGGTATAGAACTAAGGCAGTATTGTCCCTATACCTCTGTACAAAGTGGCAGAGCCGAACGCAAGCACAGACACATCACAGAGGTTGGGCTAACTCTCCTAGCTCAGGCTCAAATGCCACTTTATTATTGGTGGGAATCTTTTAAAACAGCAACTTACCTAATTAACAGGTTACTTACCCCAGTTCTCCGTCATAAATCACCATATCAGATGCTGTTTACAAAAGCCTTTGATTACAAACAACTTAAGACCTTTGGATGTGCATTTTGTAAGAGACAAAGTACTAGATAATAGATTGAAAATCAGCTACATTCCCTCTTCAGATCAGACGGCTGATGTACTAACTAAACCTATGTCACAATCAAGGTTTCAACTTCTTAGAGACAAGCTTGGAGTAATTGATCATACTCCACTGGGGAGTTAGAAACCATTACTAAACACACCTAGCTGCCGTTTAAACCAACAGACAGGAGCTCCTTATTTCCAGGAAAAGAGAATCAATTCAGTTGTGGCAGTTGATCAAATTTGTTAGACTAATTCTAGATCCTTCTTACCGTGTATAAAATCTTGTATTCAGCAATGATAATTGATCACTTTAAGCTTCATTTCATTCTGTTTTTCTACTGGGTGATGTTGGGGAAGCAGCGAGGCAGTTGGTGGTGTTTTTTAGGCGGCAATTTTGGCCAATTTATAACTGAAAACACATTTTGAAAATTTTAGCTAATTTATAACTGAAAACACCCAAAACAATTGGGTTTTCTTTGTAAATTAAATTTTTTTTTTTCAAAAACGCGTTTTCGAAAATAGAAAAGAAAACGCATTTTCACTGTTTTGGAAAATCGAAAATAGAAAACGGCTTGAAAATGGTAAAGAAAACGTGCCCTTATTTTCCACCCCACCCCATCCCCATAGCTAAAATACATAGATGAAGGTTTCTCCTTCGGGTCATTGAATGAACTCTTCAGTTCTTGCAAACACTTTACATCATCTTCCTCAAAAACCCAATTAGAACATAGTACAGAAATCAACAACATAGGTGTCTCCTGAATCATCCATTTGCTCCAACCACACTCTATGTAATTGTATCTCTTTATATTTATACACTCACGTACACACTCTGTGAAGGAATTACTACTTTTGCCTTTCGTCACTTAAAATAGCTTTCAGATCCTCAGTATGTATTTTCAATCCTTCTTACTTTGTGTATTTATACTTGCATTTTTCTTAATCTTATTCTCTTTTTCAGAAAGCATATTGTCCCACTGTTGATTTACTCAACTCTCCAAGCATCAAATCAAAGTAAATAATAAGTAAATTCATAATATGAAGACATTTTTTTCTTAATTTTTCGATTTACTGAATGATTTTTACATTTTTTTTGATGGGTTGGGTTCAGGGTACGAGGGGGGATTTTGTGCCGGTGTTTGTGGCGATGGGGATGATAGCTATGTCAGCGGGTTTTGGATTATACACAGCACTGCACCAACTGGCAAAGGCTCCAAATGTATTTGTGAAGAAGTCGAAGAATGAGACTATACCGGAGGTGGTGGACCAAAACGTTTGAGGTGATTTTGAGAGAGAAATTGAGGTTTCCGACAAGGATTTTTCGGTCCATTTCGCCGGAGGCTAAGGATCTACCGAGGAAGATGATTTGTCTGGATTTTTAGGGAAGAAGATGAAGTGGGATGAGATTGGATGGGGTGGGGTGGAAAATAAGATTTAAAATTTTTGGGATTATAGATGACACACATAAAAAAAAAATTTTGAATTTAATTTGTAAAAAAATAAAAAAAATTGACTACTGAAATTGGAATTATTCGTTTTTAATTTTAGCATTTTTTTTATTGTTTTTAACTGCAAATCTGATGGATCTTGACGGTAGGGAGATATATCGCAAATGGAAATGTTTATATGGAGTTTTCTACTATTAATCATTTTATAAAAGAACATGTTTGGAAAAGTTTAAAATCCAATTAAAATTGAAAATATAGCCGTTGTTGGGTCTCACTCGTCTAATAAAAGTTAACAATAACGACTAGTTTTTCAATTTTAATCCGATTTTAATCTCTACCGAACACGCCGTAAGGCTTTCTTTAAAAATTCTTCTAATTAGGCAAAGCATTTTCAGAAAATTATTAAAACATGTTCAAAAACCTTTTTTTAGCTTCAAAAAACATTTTTTTCAAAAAACATTTTTTTTTTTACTTTTCAAAAGCATTCGCAAACGAGTTCTAAAATATTTCATCCGAAAACTCTTTTACAAGAAACGGAAGCAAAAGTAAAAGTCGAGATAGAAGTCCTGTCAAGTGGACTTTTAGCCTCACTTTCAAATACATTTTTAGGTTTAAGTTTTTCTTTTTTGGTTTTACTTAAAACAAAAAAAGAAAAAAAATAGTAACTTTGTTAAACATTTTGAAAACGAAAGGTAATATCTAACAAATTAAATTGCATTCGGAAAGTTGAAGAGTGAAAAATAATAAACCTAGGTAATCGAACTTAAATTGATTAAATATAATATAGCTATGTAACTCACTTGCCAACTCCATCCCAAACGTGTGTCTATTGTATAATCCGTTGCATTTGTATAATAGCATATTTGATTCCCACTATAAGAGACAACGCCGGCGAAAATCCGGCCAATGACGTCCGTTCCATTGGGTGCACCGTCAATGCCATTGCAGATGAGTGTAACCGGATAATTTGGTGGGTGGTTATACTGAGCAGCTCCAGTATACATGCTCTCCAAATAAAACTTTAGCTCATTTGAACTTTTTAGTTGCCTGATCAATTACAAAAAAATTTAAGCCCAAGTAAACATGCTCTTAACAATTGAAAAAATTAAGGACAAATGAGATAATTTACGAGCAAAGTTTGAATTTTTGACTGAGAATAGAGAGGCCGTTGGGCTTTGAAGCTACTTTGTCAATTTTAGACCAAGATTCTCGAATAGTTTCATAACAAGTCTGGCTCACTTCCTGCAAATATCTGGGGTATGAGTTCAAGTATCGTCTTCACTTAATATAAAAATTTTACGTATTTAATTTTTTGTGGAAATATAAATATATAGGAACTTCATAAAATGTGTGAATTCCTACTCCTCCTCCTCCTTAGTTTGGATTTGTTACTTACCTTAAAATCCTTGGTTACAATTGAGAAATATCCATTTTGTGGAGTTATGTCATCGAAATAAAGAATAGGTGCAGATGAGGCCAAAGCACCAAGAGCAATGTGTGGATACTTGAGCCTAAACCATGAAGCAAGCACTGCAAAAATGTCAAATATATTTGTTACATACACAAAAAAATAAAAAATAAATTACAGAATTAGCCCTTAACTTATAACCTAAATAACAATTTGGTCCTCAACATGTCATTATAGTTATATAGTCACTTCTTAGAGATAGAAAGCCATCATAATTTAGTTATAATATTGTCAAGTGTCCCTTGTGACAATGTCTCAGGCACTGTCGCAAGTTGGGATACAATATTTAGCTTTATTATAAAGTTAGATAGGTAAAGTTCATGGAATGATTTAACGAAAATTTGTACGTTTTGTCATTCATAAGTTTGCATCAGTAATGAAAAATTAAGAACGACGAACATGCACCTACGTACTCGAATAAATAACAACGTAAATGGAAATGAATGATGAATTCTTACTTCCTCCATATGATCCTCCAATGACAATAATGGGAGAATTGTGGGCAGATAATTTTTCCTTTATGTAAATCAATATCTCTGCATAATCAGCCATAGCTTGAGCTGAGGTAAGATATCCACGAATTGTATCATTTTTCAAGGCTTCTTCCATGGATCCTAAGGGACTTGATTTTCCATAATAACGATGCTAGTTAAAGATAAACAAGAAAAGAATTATATATAATCAGTATTACATAAAAAAGGTTATATATAAAGAGGAACAAGACCGATTCCACAAAATTTGTGAATAATAATGAGTAATATTTATGAATGTGTGGTTGAAATTAATGTTTATTTTCGATTAAATTTATAAATGATTTATAAATTTTGTGTCCGACGAATTTTATTTTTTTTTTGGGGTAAAATGTTACCATAATCGAAATTTTATGTTTTTGGGTAATAATGACTAAGTTTTTGTGATCGTAATTGACTAAAGTCGAAAGTGACTATGATGACCGGTCAATTTACGGTGAAAAAGATAATAGTCCTAAAAGAGTCTTATCTAAGGTGTCAATGAATAGTTTGAGTTTTAGTCCCTACTTAACAATCATTCTTTAAAAACTCTTCTTTTTTCTCCTTATACTAATGGCAACCCCACATATTATCCTAGAATTTACTATTCAAAAGGGTAATTAACACATAACATCCCCACATTTCACTATTATTGTGGAAATGTCACTTTTTGGCATTTTCACCCTTATGTCCCCCACCTTCATTTTTTGACATTTTCACCCTTATTTCTACATTTCATTGCGTAAAATGTCATTTTTTTAAATCCATTTTTTTAATTAAAAATTGTGAAATTACTATTATACACATATCTTTAAATAAAACAAAAAAAAAAAATTAATTAATTACAATCATAGTCATAATTTTTTTTAAAAAAATGCAAATGAGCCCAAAATAAATTATTAAAAGGGTAAATGTCCCTACTTTTCACGATTAGTGTGAAAAACGTTCTTTATTTTTTTTTTTTTTACATTTTCACCATTAATTACACATTTGATTGCACAAACCATCATTTCTATCCATTTTCATTCAATTTCTTAATAATGAGTTGTGAAATGATGAATATAACCTCCTATTTAAATAAAAAATATAAAGAATTAATTGCAACCTATAGTTCCATTTTTTTTTAAAAAGTGCAAATGAGTCTTAAATAAATTATTAAAAGTTGAAAATCAATTTTTTTAAAAAAAGTGCAAACAAGTCTCAAATAAATTATTAAACAAATTAGAAATTAGTTTTAAAAAAAAAAAGTGCAAATAAGTCTCAAATATATTATTAAAAAATTAGAAATTAATTTTTTTTTTTTTAAAAGTGCCAACGAGTCCCAATTAAATTTATTTAAAAATAAAAAAAGTACAAACGAATCCCAAATAAATTATTAAAAATTAAAAAAATATTTAAAAAAAATTGAAAGGTATATTCATCATTTTACAGCTCTCTATTGGGAAAATAGATAAAAATGAATTGAAATGATAATTTGTGTAATTAAATGTATAATTAATGGTGAAAATACCAAAAAAATAGAAGGTATGGATATTACATGCTAATTACCCTTTTATTAATTTATTTGAGGACTCGTTTGCACTTTTTTAAAAAAATTTAGGATTAGGGTTGCAATTAATTTTTTCTTTTTCTTTTTGCTTTTATTTAAAGAAAATGTTATATCCGTCATTTCACAATTTTTAATTGAGAAAATTGATGAAAATGACATTTTGAGCAATGAAATGTGAAAATAAGGCTGAAAATGTCAAAAAATGAAAGGTACAAATGTTTTCCAGAATAACAGTAAAATATGAGGATGTTATGTGCTATTTACCCCTATTGAAAAACTCATTCTTCCGAGAAAAAAAATAGATGTCAAACATAGGCTTAGTTTTTTGTGCAATGATTGGGAACATGGCGGACTTATTGTTATCATGGTTTCCGCATCATTCATCTAAGACTACGAGCCCAATGACATCAAAATAGATCTGTAGTGACTATCGTTAAACTGCTTTGATTTTTGTCAAAAGATGTAACCCAAGTAAGATCAAGTTTCGAAATAGCTAGCTAGCATAGTTACAGAAATAAATATGATTAATTACATCGGTAAGATATAGACTTCATCCTCTCTGTTATATTATTAGTATTTACAGTCATAACAAATTAAGACTTTAGATTCAGCGATTCGACAATTACCTCTATATAAACGATAAGAGCCTTAAAACGGGGGGCATTTTCTGGGAGAAACCCATGTGGAGCTCTATCCAGTGGCGCTTCTGCACCAAAATAGACAAAGATGGGAGAATTGGCTTTTGCACCACCCCAGTATTTGTAGTTGATGAGATATCTTTGTTTGAAAGTGGCATAACTAAGGGGTCCATAGTTGAAATGGTCTAGGGTTTGAGTGTAAAAATATGTCTTGTAATCATTTGAAACTGTAGGAGAAGATACTGTAACAGATTCAGGGTTGTGGTCTATTAGGATTGCTTCTCCAAGTGTATCAAGAAATGGAATTTCGTGTGGTTCTACTGATGAAACACATGCAAAGAATTGAAGAAGAAGAAGAAGAAGAAGCAGAGGGAATGAAAGGTAGAAATGTCTAAATGAAAGTATTTGAGAACTTTTTTGAGCTTCCATCTTCATTCTTCTACGGTTACTTACTTGTGTATGTGAGTGTGAATATATATACACACACTGACACACATCTACTTTGTTTTAATCTTTTCATCTGAATATATCGAGCTCGTAAAAGGATAAAAAAAATTCTATAATTGGAATATTCGTTCTTATTTTAAAAAGAAATTTCTCGTTACTTATCGATATTATCATCTATTCTCATATTTTTTTTTATGTCTATTCCTTTTGGACAAATTCCTTGTTAACTTCTCTATTTTTTTTAAAAAATAAAAAATTATCTACTTTATTTATCGAAACAATAATGTAAACATCAGAGTGAAAGCTACATATGTGGCTGTATTAAGAAGCCAATTTGGAATAATAATGTAAGAAAAAGAAAAAGTCGAAGCAAGAAAATACGGGTATGTTTGGACCAGATTTTAATCAAAATCAAAATCAAACAATCAATATCAACCATATCTTTCATAGGTCTCACTCATATCTTTTCAACCACACATTTCAAATTTTTTTATCACAATTCACTTAAAATCTGATTTTAATGTACACTATACACCCTCTAAATATTCTTGGTCAACTCAAGTATTTGATCCTTTCCACATTAATTTACTATCACAAAATATTTAAACTTCTAGAAAGAATTTATAAACGATTTAATTTATAAATAAGTATTTTAAATTGTTCAAGCCAATCGATCAATTTAATAATACGAGTTGAACTAGACCAATTAAGCTCATGTTTGGTTTGGATTAAAATTCAATTAAAATCTCAAGTCATATTCAACAATTAATTTTAACCACAAATTTTACGAGACTCACAACTCTTCAACCACACATTTTATCAACTTTTATCAAAATTTATTAAAAAATTAATTTTAATCTCTACCAAGCAGGAGCTAAGAATTTAATTATCATAATTTGTATTAAAGGAAAGGAGTATGAAATTGCATAAAATTTCTTGCCAGAAATTGCACAGATACTCACATGGGGGTGAGCCCATGTGAATTAAATATTGTAAAAAAATGGGGCCCACCACTTGTGTGTATTAATACATTTATGAACAATTCCAAATAAGCACTAACTTTTCCTAAATTATAATCTTGTGATTACTGTTAAAAACTATTACCTTTTTTTAGGGAAAATTGTAACAGATGTCCCAAACCTTTCATTTTTCTGCAAATTACACCCTAATCTTTCATTTTTGCGACAACAGTCCTAAACCTTTATATTTAACTGCAGTCGCGATCCAAATCACTAATTTTGTCCATAATGCTGTTAGTCAACAGCGAAATTGCAATTTTGACTCAAATGGATAAGTTAACTAAGGGGCAAAATGGTATATTTTGTAATTTTCATAATAAAAAAATTAAAACAATTAAACAAAACATGAAAAAAAAAAAAAGAATAATGTTCATCTTCCCCATCCCTAACCCCTTCGTCTCAACCCAAACTTAAATCAAAGTTCCACCGTAGTCATCATCGCTTCGATCCGCGGCCACTGC